ATGTGCCATCACTATAAGGGATTAGAGTATACTAAACTTTACATCTTGTATTGGCTACACTAATGTGATGTAGAGGCGGTTCGTTTAACTATTATATGTGATGCACGTTTTTTGAGGGATGGTTAATGAAAGTGTTCCAAAATACGACATTAATTTCTTGATAACCTAATATTTTTCAAAAATAAAAATATTGGAACCTGTAATGTTTATCATATTTTACAGAAAGAACCACCACCAAATTAATAGTGTGAATCAGTTGGTATTAGCATTTATGTTTCCTATTTTCTGACATCTGAGATTTTTGACACTCCTTCACAGATGTCATCCAATACTGTAATGGTAACTGGAGGCACTCAGACAATTAGTGATATTATCAAATTGTGTAGCATGTGTCTGGTTGTATTCTGATCTCAGATTCAGGATTTCCAACATTGTGCTCCTGTCACTTCAGCTGAGTCTGCCCCATTTGGTAATGTTTCACCTCTGTTATTTCCATAAGTGATTTTGCTTCTAGTTCCCTCTACCCATTGAGGATCGGGTATATCTACCTTTATCCTTCACTGTCACAGATATGCGTTTTTTGTTTTCTCTTTCTCCAGTTAATTTTTGCTGAAGCTCAGGTTTCCTTATTGCATGAGTCTCCACCACTTGAATTTCCTCTTTTTTCTTTTTATCTATCTCTCTCCATCTAATAGTTTTACAACTTCATCATTCATTCTTATGTTTTCTCTTCTACTGGGGAAACATGCAAATACTCATTTTCCACCATTACCTAGATTTTCATTCATTTTTATCCCATTGAACCTGATTTCTTTATTTCTTGGATATACTTCATCAGGTTGCCTTACTTTCTGATGATTGCTTCTCTCTGAGCCCTCTGTCTTGCACCCTTTCTTTGTGATGATGTTTATTGGTTTGTTTCTTCTACTTTGGTACACCTCATCAGCAGTCATCTCTGCTCACTTTGATTTCCTACCTGTGGTACTAGGTAGCACCACCGACTTTCTCATCATATTTGGCCAAATGTTTCTTGTCCTCTTGTTATCATCCCAGCCCCCCACTCTCTGATGTCACCCCTTAACTCTGTTCATGTGAGAGCTTTACACTCTCACTGTATACTCCTGTGTACTTTCTTTGCTACAACCTGTTGGGTTCCCCAGTTGCATTCTCTGTGATTTTTTTTTTCTGTCCTTCTATTCTTCACATCACCTTTTTCAATTCCCATGAGAAGATTCCTCTACTCCACTGAGGTTTTACATTCGTTCTTTTGTTATTCCAATGAAAATAGGTGGTTAATGGCCAATCAACAGTTTGTCCTGCTTGATCCATCTTTGGTCTTCCCTTGGTTCCTGAATGGATGATTTTCTTCCACTGTGCAGTAGATACTTTCTCCAGTGGTATATGACATGGTTCAATGCCTCATATATTGCTTATCCCAAATTTGTCCATTCACCTCTTTGCTTCTTTCAGTCCATCCAAAATAGTCAAACATTTGATTCTCAGCCCTTCTCCTCAAGTTTGCTTTGCCCCTCATCTATTTTCTTTGCACCTGGTGACCTTTTGCTTGGGTATTTTATTCTTGAGGCCTTTTGTTCCATTAATCTATAGACACTTGGCCTCTACTTGCCCCTTCCATTGTGACTTCCTGTCTCCTTTGGGAGTCGTGTTGTTTTAGGTGGATGTTTCAGTTTTCTGATTTAGACTCAACCCCCATCCAATCCTGTATCTCATTCACTTGGCATTCTTTCTCTTTTCATATGCATGGCATGCTCAACCTATCTCTTTTTGTCTTTGCAATATGAAGCTCTCGATACTAAAGGTTTCATGTCTTCTTCATTTCTAGCATGAGTAGATTTCTTTCTTTTGGGTCTTCCTTTCCTCTTGATTCCTTTATTCTTCTTGGTTGTACCAATACTTATCACCTTCAATAGTTTCTGACATATCAATGCAGGTATATCCCCCTCATGATCATGGTGGCTCATTCCATCCTACATGCCCCCAGATGCCACTTTTCCCCTATCCAGACCTGAATCTGTTGGGAGCCCTCCAGGACTCTGAAGTAAGTTGGTAGGCTCATTATATTTACATATGTGAGTTACTATATCAAGGGAGAATACTGCACAAGTAGCACATTGTGTTGTTTTGTGCTTGACAATGGCCATTCCTATATGCTAACCTTTTCATCATTACCTCTGTTACAGTGGAGTGCAGTTCTAGATGCCTGATCCATTTCCCTTATCTGGTCTTCAGATACCCTTGAGATGGTTGCTGCTTTGCAGGTTTGCCATCATCCTTTTCTCATCTCTTTGGTCTTGTCATGAACCATTCAGACACCTCCTCTGTTGTTTCCAACATAGTGGCATTCTAACTGTGGACTTTTTTTTGGGCCTATGATCACCACATTCAGTTGTTGGCCTATCATATCTTGTGAGCTCAGACCCAGTTAAATCTGTCCACCCCTACTTAGTGTCTGCTGTTGGGATACAGTTTTTCCAGAAGACTCATTTAGCAGTGTCTTTATATATTTCATCTTCTATGTCGTTCTGCATTTGTGAAAGAAATATAAAAATGACAGCACCAAGTGTGAGCCTGCATCTGTACCGAACTCACACTTGCTGTCTTTATTTATGGTAATTGGTTGCAGTGTGGGACATAATTCCAACTTATTGTACCTGATGACATGGTCCGTGCACCTCTAGTATTTTCCCTTATGCAAATTCCTCCCTCTGTTTTTTCTAGTAAGGTACAGGAGAATTCTTGCTTCCCCAATCCTTAGCCACTGAAGAAGTTGATTTGGAGAGTTCTTCATTGGGTGGTGCAATCCCACTGTTACAAGACCAAATAGGTGTGGGGTGTTGTACAAGACATCCCATTACATTATGAACCAAGCCATTCCTGGTGGGTTTACCTTGGGTTATAGACCTGGGCTGCTTCTATCTGCATCTAGTAACTGTGATATCTAAAGCAAGTATTTCACTTATGTAGAATAGCCTGACTTAGCCCTAGCCACATTACATACTCGTTCTTATCTGCCTACATGTGAAATAATGGCTGATTGAGCATTCTTACATTCTGCCCACACAGCAACACTTTAGCATCATACAAAACTGTTTTATTCTACCTCCTCTCATAATAACAAATACCACAATAACATTGGGTGAAGAGTATTCCCTGCTTGAGATGGATACAGTCTCTCACCAATATCTGCTCCACTAGGCGACCTTCACCTCATGGGTGTCCAACTCCATATTGACATTGTTTTCAGAATAGAGATCATCTTTGTAATTTCTTTCTTTGCACTGGCCTTTCGACCATATTCAGTGTGAGATTCTAGCTTTTTTGTTCTACAAAGAGGTTAGTAACGTTTCTAAAGTTTTCTTTTCCTTACCTGAAAATGTATTTTAGATAGTTACTCATCTCTCTACACATTCTCAAACCCTTCCTCACCACTTCAGGTGCATTTCCTTTGAATCATCAAGAATGAGCTTTTGTTCAAATGCTAGTGGTCCTGAAGATTACAGTGCATGGAGATTGTGTCACCTTCCTATTGATGGAGAGCTATAGTCTGATGATGATGATTACATCATAGGCTGGTAGAATATATTTTGACACATATAGGGGTTGGAGATTTGTTCAAGGTTTGATGCATGTGCAAGAATTTACACAGCGGTGTGCACGAGATAAGAGCTCTTTATTTTGGAGGAAGGTGATGGAATCTGTCTGAAATACATTGTGATTTAAGGAAAATGTTAACTTTAATTTTCAGTGTTATGAATTTACATCATCTTAATCATCTTATAGGGAAGCAAAATATTAAGATAAAGCAATGCGGGTATCATGAGTTTATATCAGAATACAAAGTAAAACATTAAATAACCCAAATATGATTCTATTTCAGGGTGAATTCATACATAAAAATACTTTGAAGTATTTTGAAAATAAAAAGCTTCGATATGTATGGAATCCAGAAAGAGAAGAATTTGTGAGACTGAGAGGTCTAGAGATGAATGTTCCGTGCTCCAAACTTTTAACTAGCAAAGGGATTTCTTCTAAAGATCAAATTCTGAGGTAAAATTTATAACAGCAAATACTTCATCTAAGAACCTGTCTTGAACTGTATCATCTTAAAACTTATAAATGTGTGGCATATCTTCCACTACTTGAATTGAACAGAAATATATAAAGTAATATATAATACTTACATACTTGGGTATACTACATTTTTAAGAATATAAGTGATATAATTCTAGTGGTATGGTACATAATTGATATCACTGTATGAATGATAAGTAACAAATAAATATATCTGACACCTTATGAATGTTAGATAGTAAATGTGTATTACTATATAATAGTTGAAAAAAACCCACTAGCTTTGGAACTGTTGACAGAAGCTATGCCCACTTTCTACACAGAGTTGTAATTTATCAGCCAATTATATTTATTTGAGCCAGATGTTTACAACCAATAGAAAGAACACAATTTAAAATTGGCATGAAGATTTTCATAGAAAACTAGTCAAACTGCTCTTGACATTGTTTCCACTTTTGTCCTCAATAGCACTTAGCATTTTTTACATGTAAAAATATGTTAGTTAGATAGACAGTTAAATTGTATTTAGGTTTTAGATTTATATTTTAGTTAATTATATGTTATTTATGTTTTAAGATGCATATTTTAAAGGTTTAATCATTTTTTTTAATATAACCCAACTACTACTTAATTTGTGAGGGCTAGTATGGTAAGTGAGTGTGACAGCATTCTGCTGAAGGGTAATAGTATCTCTGTTGATGATATGATAATATTGGTCAGGGATGCCATTGGCATGTGTCATAATAGATAATAACGGTAAAGGACAGGAAAGAAAAATAAAACATTAAAAATAAATTATATCTGAAAATGTAAAGACATACAATTGAGACTATAACCAAAAGAAGATTTTTAAGATTATTAGACAAAAAATTAAAAGGTATGTACATTTTTCCTCTATCTTAATTTTGAACATTTCATTGTTCTATACATTGATGGTAATAAACACAGTTAGTAATATGGTCGAAAAAGTGAAAAATAACATAAACATTTATGTAAAAAAACTTGAAATTCATTCAGGAGGTTCTAAGGGTTATGCAAATGAAATTTGAACACTATTAAATGGAAAAATATTTTTAAGCTTGACATGAAAATCACCTTGCACTCTAACTATTCAGTTTGAATGCAAATAACTACAATAAATAATGAATTTATTGGAAATAATTAATTAAAGTAAACTTATTCTTTACATATAAAACACTTGTAATCTTTAACAAAATCTTGCCAGTTTTTATGAAGATACGATAAGAAAGCTCAGAGTTATTGTAAATTATATATATATATATATATATATATATATATATATATGTGTATATCATTCTCCATACGAGCAAGTGCCATAGAGCTAAGCAAAGCAAAATAAACAAATAAGGTTTGAAAGAGATGAGTCTGACATACTTGAGGTAATTGAAAGGAAATTCCAAACTAATCTGAGATAACAGAACCAGTGGTTCTTATCAGCAGAGCATAGACACAACTTAGTTAGTAATAATTAACGAATGTTTATGAAACTAGAGACACATCTAGCAGCCATATGACAATACTGCACATCATGGCCATGAGAGCTTAGCATTATAAAAAATTAAGGAAAAATTATTGAAACCACCATGAAGAAATAAGCATCTCATGCTAAGTGAACCTGTCAATGACTTGGTGATTATTATACTTGAGATAAAAGATAACCAATCAGGAACTGAGGATCACGTGTGATAATTATGGTTTCAAAAGTGCGATAGAACCTTCGATAACAGCGCAACCATACCATTTACTGAACGTATATCGCCCCAGTGTTCTGAGAAATGGTCAGTCTGCTCCTTTGAATCTCCTTCTAGTGGACCTTTGGATCTCTACCATGACAGTCTTATAATCAATAGAGAACATTCATTGCACTAACTCCTTGGAAGTTGAATTGCTATGTCCAGTATAGTCGAATAATGTAGTTAGATGAGCATATATTATGATTTAAATTGTACTAAGAGTAGAAATTATTGAATACTTGATAGGATTAATAGATGATAAAACTGAAATGTTGAGAAGTTTAGTGGAAGACATGTTATTTAAATATTTCTTATAGAGTGAGATATCATGGAGAGTTGAAAGAGAATCCAGTGAATTGATAACTTATTGGCTATAATTGAGATGTTAATGCAGACACTGAAGAGTCTAATAAGTGAGCATGTGGCTTTAGAAGGAAAGCATTTTTAAATTTATTTCAATGTAGATAACTTTCTGAATTTGTTTAATTAAATGCATTGTGTATTCCAAAACATACTTACCTCTGCTGACACTTAGAGCCATTGCTCAACCTCCAGGGTTTCTTCTTTGCCCATCCCAGCATTTTTTAAATTTTTTTTCTTGCTTGCTTCAGTCTCTCATACCTCACTCAATTGCCTTTGGTGATTATTGTTTTGTGATTATTTACACCTATATCAGTGCACCCTCTATCATGGTACTGCATATAAGCACCTCATTCAGATAATTTTACAACTTTTTCTCAACAAAGCATTTTGATACAGGTTTCTCTAAAGCAGTGCTGCAATAGTTAATGTCCTTTGTTGCAATTTTTGCTTTGCCTAGTTTATTTCCGTACACTTAATTATATTTAATAATTCTAAAAAAAAAAATCCTTTTGTTTATATGACACGCTGTTATCAGGCATGAATTCCTGGGTTACTGTTTCCAGCACGGAGGCTAATCAGACCTCCCCTATTCCACCTCTGTTATCTAGCATCTCTCAACATATATTCGGCCTGGGAGTGTCTCTCCAGGGGATACTCTGCTACGCCTTGGACTTGCCTTCACTTACGCCTATTTGCCTCACCATCATACGTATATATACGGGAATATTTATATGTAATTTTTTGTTTAATTAATTAATTAATTATTATTACTTCTTCTTCGCCCATACGGCTCATTATTCCACTGACCATTAATTGAAATTTAACCTTATGCCACAAGCAGGGGTGAAGGAGGATTGTTTAATCTTTGAGCACCCTTGATTAGTAATTATTTCTTAGGAGATAATTATTTTAAAATCAAAATAACTGCCAAGAACAACTCTCCAGAGAACCCAAAACATTCTGAAGAGGCCAATTTGGATCTGCCATCTCCTGCTCCCATTCTTCAGTCTTGGGGCTTTCCCTGGTTGCTTTTGAGTGTACTCCTTCTTTGCTGGTGGAAAGATCTGAAGGTGACTACTTAGTGTTTGCTTCTTCACTTGATATTGCTATTAATGCTTGTGTGACCAATGGATCAAGAACTTTGATCCACTGTATTATCCAGCCTCCTTACTCAGGAGCAACATTTTAGATCTCGTGTGGTGGTTGGTTGGATCGGAAGAATACTACAATAGGTGTTCATATATCACCCCCTCGTCCCAAGATTAATCTTTTCACAGATACCTTATTTCAGGGATGGGGTGTGTATATCAACGGTCAGGAATTCCAAGGTCTATGGACGGATGATGAATTTTCCTTCCATATCAATATTTTAGAAAATCTTTCTGTCCAATGAGTAATGGCTCAAGGTCTATCTCTGTTCAAGGGAAAATTCGTCATGGTTCATTCTAACAATTCCAATTCCATAACAGGACATTTCCTGTCAAGGGGCCACTTGTCCTCTGAACCTTTGTTTTTGAAGTTTGGATGTTTTCTACAGGGCTCACTCTCATCATATCAGCCTCCTAGCTTACCATGTTCTGGAGGTAATGAATTTTATAGTAGATCATCTGTATTGACTCCACTGAATTCTCTCAGCAGAATGGATGCAACATCACGAAGTTTTCCGGTGGATTTGCTCTCAGTTTGGGACTCCACTGAATTCTCTCAGCAGAATGGATGCAACATCACGAAGTTTTCCGGTGGATTTGCTCTCAGTTTGGGACTCCACTGAATTCTCTCAGCAGAATGGATGCAACATCACGAAGTTTTCCGGTGGATTTGCTCTCATTTCGGGACTCCACTGAATTCTCTCAGCAGAATGGATGCAACATCACGAAGTTTTCCGGTGGATTTGCTCTCAGTTTGGGACTCCACTGAATTCTCTCAGCAGAATGGATGCAACATCACGAAGTTTTCGGTGGATTTGCTCTCAGTTTGGGACTCCACTGAATTCTCTCAGCAGAATGGATGCAACATCACGAAGTTTTCCGGTGGATTTGCTCTCAGTTTGGGACTCCACTGATCGATACATTTGCTACTCGTTGGAACTCTCAACTGCAGGCATTTTGATCCCTGGTACCTCATCCTCAGGCTTTGGTGATAGATACATTGAGTCAAGACTGAACAGGATTGCACCTCTATGCCTCCCCCCCCCCCAATTCATCTGTTACTCAGAGTTCTGGCTATGGTTTGATCTATTTCTTGTTGGTAGCCTCAGATTGGCCAGCCCAACCATGGTTTCCTCTTCTTAAGCATCTTCAAGAGTGTCCACCTCTGCCATTTCCTCTTTGGCAACCTCGATTGGACATTCTACACCCAGACATTCCAAAACTCAAATTTCATGCATGGAAATTGTGGTCCTTTGCATGGCATCGGGGTTTGACGTCTAAAGTTGGCTTGTATTTGTCTCAATCTCTCAACATACCCACAATGGCCATTTATCAATGGAAATGGCACACTTATTGCCAATGGTGTTTCATGAGGAAATTAATCCCATTTCACCCAAATGTGCCAACCATATCTTGTGTTTTGATCTGGCTTTTTGATAAAGATCTAGCTCCGTCTAATATCACTTTATATAAGACAGCTTTATCAACTAATTTTTGGTATTCTCCAGGGCTATCTGGTCTAATCAAATTGTTTCATGTCCTTCGTCCCAAAAGGCTTTTTTAATTACCTAAGTGGGATATTAAGGTGATATAACATGCTTTGTCTCGACATCCATTCGAGCCTTTAGCCTTATGTACTATGTATTACCTTTTACTTTAAAGTGTATTTTTTTTGCGGCTTGCTTGTGAATATCATAGGTCGGAGTTGTTT